CCCCACCCCCGTCCCCTCCACCCCTGCTCAATGCATTCACTGCAGACCTTGCGTGTTCCCCGCTCATTTGCTGATGGCAGCAACCTTCGCGGCGTGCCGAAACAATTTTGTTTACCTGCCCTCAGAAGCAATCGACTGCCGTGTTGCTTAACATGTGCCACGCCCGAAGAGGCGGCCGCCCCAAACAGAAGACATATTGTGGCCTATGGGACCTTGTCTGGGGCGGTCTCCAACTTCGAACTGACAGCTGCTTCTTATTCCTTTTACGACGTTGCAGACATGATGGAAGAATTATGATATTTGCATATGTTCAAGTCGAGAGCTCCACGAAGTTCTTTGGTGGTTATAATGGGAAAATATTGGCCTGTGCCCTGCAATGTGGGTTAGACTTTAATGCATGCTTGTATTTACGACATTTCCAATTCCGTTGACAAATTCAGGCGTTTCTAAAGGGAACACGCTTACAATCGTTTCAATTGCTTGATTGTTGTGGGTGGAACTCGGCGGCATGCAATCAGATTGTCCCCAAAGCACGCAAAGGCACCTGTTGAATCTATTTGTATGTACTCTGATAGAATTGTGCACAAAATTAAGCTGTAACCTTGCAAATGCCCAGTTACATTTATACGCATCAAATACGAGCCTTAGTAAATTCTCAAAATGAAGCTTGAGCCTGTTTCTTGCCAATTGCTTTAACAATGAAACCGACTCGGATGTTGATACTGACCAAGCATATATATTATACACATTTTATTTTTCACGTACTAAGCTGATTATATATATATATTTATAATAATTATATATTATATATATATATGTGAATAAACAAAATATACCTTGATTTGACTTCAATAGTTTTTGGTGAGTTAGAGATAGCTTTTGTTCTTCTGTAACATACTCAAAATAAACTACTTTTTTGCGACGTTGTAAATTATATCTATAATTTACTATTATTTACTCTAAATTGAACTTTCTATACAATACAATGCAATGCATTGTACATTTTAATGTTTAAATCTCGCAGCAAGGATTAAGCTATTACATTCCGTTGAGATTTAAAACCTCTTTTGAATTTCATTTGATTTCTCAAAATTATCGATAACAAGTCAACCGCTTATCCTACACATCGCCGACACAATCCCACAATTAGAACATTTTGGCAACTCTAGTTACGAAAACCTTCCTGGCTGGTTAACAGTGCCTTCTTGGGTATATCTACCAATTGAGTTATTCAAATTATATATTCCCTCCTATAGATTTTTATTTTTATTAGCATGAGCATTAAACGTAGCATGGCATGGTGTTCTCTTTTTTGTTTTAAGCATTTCGTTACAAACGAATATAATCTTTCGACTCTCCAATAACATTGTACTCAAAATGGCACTGTTACACTGGATGCAATGTGACCAGCAAATAAAATATTCACATATTTCCAATAATTTCGATTTTTATGATGAGTAGCTTATTTACGTGGCTTTTTTTTAATATTTCCTTGTCTGTCTTGAACAAATAAGTTGCCTCATATTTATAACACCTATGCAATCATTTTGGAAAGTTCAATGTCAAGGGCATTTATGCTCGTAGACCGGCAGTTTCAAAGCAATTAGATTCTGTCCGTATCTAGATACATATATATATAAGTATATGCACATATATGTATATTTATATGTAAATATATATACACATATGTGAAAATTGCTGTTCACATGTATGTACACACATATGCATATGTATGTTCAAGTTTTCTCCTAGGTCCAACTATTTATATCAATTAAATTATGCATTTTTTCCGATTGTTTGACATGATTCCAGTCGCATAGTTAACAAAGCCAACCCAAATTTCTATCGCTTATCTCCATCCGGGCGAAAAAATCAATAGTTGCATGAGCACAGAGGCGATGTCATAATTGTACTAAAAATGCGGTAATGTTTGTGTTTTGTTTTTATTTTTATATATTTGTAACGAGATTAGGTTATATAATTTATGTAACTGTTTTTGCTCGGTTCATCAAACAGGAGAGAGAAGATCTGTTGGTAATACAATACAAAACATATGTACATATGCTGAGTGAATGTATATGTGTGTATGTATGTATGTATGTTGTATGTTTTTTTTTGGGTACTGTGTAGTTATGTGGGCGAAAATCGGATCCTTCTCATCTATAGTTAAATGCTACACCTCCTGTTTGTGCGTATTGAGAAGTTAACATTGTGTTAGCTGCAGCTATTTATATAATTTAATCCTTGCTCTGCATGTACTTAATCAAGTCGATGACACGGTTGGAGTAACCGAACTCGTTGTCGTACCACGAAATCAGCTTAACGAACTTGTCGTTGAGCGGGATGCCGGCCTTGGCATCGAATACGGACGAGTGAGTGTCGCTAAGGAAATCGGTGGAGACGACCTCCTCATCAGTATAGCCCAGAATGCCCTTCAATGGACCGTTGGCAGCCTCTTGTACTTTGGCCTTAATTTCATCATAGGTGGCACCCTTGCCCAAGCGGACAGTCAAGTCAACAACGGACACATTTGGTGTGGGCACACGGAAAGCCATGCCAGTCAGTTTGCCATTCAGAGCTGGAATGACTTTGCCGACGGCCTTGGCGGCGCCAGTGGATGCTGGAATGATGTTTTGGGCAGCACCACGACCATCACGCCACAACTTGCCGGAGGGGCCATCGACGGTCTTCTGGGTGGCTGTGGTAGCATGCACAGTGGTCATCAGACCCTCAATAATCTCAAAGTTATCATTGATAACCTTGGCCAATGGGGCCAAGCAGTTGGTGGTGCAAGAAGCGTTCGACACGACCTTCATGTCCGGGCTGTATGCATCCAAGTTCACGCCGCACACGAACATGGGCGCATCAGCGGAGGGAGCCGAGATGATGACCTTCTTGGCACCGCCCTTCAAGTGAGTTGAGGCCTTTTCGATGGTGGTGAAGACACCGGTCGACTCAACCACGTACTCAGCGCCAGCGCTGGCCCAGTTGATGTTGGCTGGATCGCGCTCACTGAAGACGGTGATCTTCTTACCGTTGACAACCAGGAAGCCGCCCTCGGCAACAACGGTGCCCTTGAAACGGCCGTGGGTGGAGTCGAACTTGAACAGGTAGACCATGTAGTTCACATCGATGAAGGGATCGTTAACCTGCAAATTACACATATACACACAATTTTTACGTCAAACTCCAAATAAATCTAAGCGGCTTCACTTACGGCAACGACGGAGGCGCCTTTGTCGATAGCGGCACGCAGCACCAGACGACCAATGCGGCCAAATCCGTTAATACCAATTTTCGACATGATTAATTTTTATTTTTTTTAATTTGCCTGGATCACACTTTTACTTTCGCTCAGTTCACCCGTCAGGAATCAACTGCAACTGCTCAGACTAAATCGACTTCAGATAGAGCGTTTGCGCTTTGGCTGAGTTCAAAGTCAAATGAAGGACGTTTACGTCACGCCCACCCCACTACAAAAGCATGAGCAATTTGACCGCAATATTAAGCTGAATGCTATATGACGCACGCGCATTTATCAGCACCGATGTTGCCGCCGCCAACTTCACGTGACTTAAAAGTATTCGAATAGCAACTCTTCGAGTACCCATTAACTATACACTTAAAACCCGCCAAAAATGGTGTGCTGTTTAAAATGCTGAACAAGTTAAGTTTCATAACTTATTGATCAAGTTTAAATGATCTGTCAAATGAGTGATTTTATTTAATAATATATAAACTTTATATTTGACTATAAGTGTTTGTAAATTAATTAATAAAACAGCTTTTGAAATAAAGTGGCTTTCAAACTGCGGAAAGCTTCTCTGTTCGTGGAAAAACCCTAGAGCTTTTATGGGGCCACCTAGCGTTCGTTTAAAACACTGCTGTTAAATATTCAAAAATAAGAAAAAATAACTTTGGCAAATGCAAAATGGAAAACCGATTTCGCCTTAAGGAAATAGCGATCTAAGGTCAAATATATAAGTAAAATATTATTTTAAACTTTAAATTCTACGGATAGATTTAAGTTTTTCACAGACGGGAAATGGTTGGAACATGTAAGTCGAAACGAACAGCAAGAAGCTCTGACCCGGCAAGGCTGGGAAATACCAGCTAGTCTATCTGTAGAATTCTACAGCTCTGAAGCTTTCGGTAAATAGTATATATTTTTAGTGCACAATAAATTTGTGTACTATTAAAAACTATTATAGATAATTAGCAAAATGCGTACGTGTCTTTAAGTAGACATTAGCTAAGAGACCCCAAAATATACTGAAGAAATCAATGTAAGTCAACGTTCCGTTAACAAACATTAATTAATAATAAAAAAAACTAAAAGTCACGCATATTCATTGTTGTTTTTTTAGTCGCTTTCGGTGATGCTGTTTTTTGCCTTTAGGTGCGTATAAAATTCAATGCAACGTTTAATGGATTTTTGATGATCTTCCAATAATGCGCATGTTTTGCAAGTTTAAAATTTTGGAATAAGTTTATGAATTTGAAAACTGTGCCTTTGATAAATTTATATTTTTGCAGTTTGTTGACTCGATTCAATCTTTAAAGAATGCCAGGATTGAATTTCCTGCCAATTTTTTGAGGACTCTATCTTTTAATGTAACTTTTATTTATCTTTGGGATACCTTAAGCTGGCTCAATCGGTGCAGCTAAAACGGATATAAACCAAGTAATTCTGTTGACAAGAAGGGATTGGCAATAACTTGGACATGTTTGCAAGACGCATTTAAACTTCCAAAACTCTACTCTATATCTATACTACACAATCGTTTAAGGGAATTATAAAGAAGATTCTCAAACTTCTGGACTCGTCAAATCAAATGCTAAGTGCTAATAATCAATGTGACCAGCCGAAACAACTTTTAAAAGTCCGTCTGGTCTCTCAGTTTTTGATATTTCTTAACCTTCAACACATTAGTTATCACATTATGTGGATACGATCATCGTATAGTCGAAGTTCTGCTTTAAAACAAAAGAAAATAATATTATGTTATATTTCTAAAGTTTATTATGTAAATAACATTTTACATGATATATACATAGATATATATACCTTTATCGTATGTATAAACATATGATGATTGTTTTTTTTCGACACAAAATTCGTATTCGTTTTAACTACTCATACATCGAGAACTTCAACTTTAACATACATACATGCTTTATAAATAATTTAAAGTACTTGCAGTAGTTTCATGCAATGGATGAGGCCACGCCCAATTGCCTTTTACTGCCCACCGGTACGCTGCACGTTGTCGAACGGCACAAGGACGCCAGGGGGACCTCCAAAGCGGTTCTGATGATGGCTCGCAGCAGCACCGACCTGCTGGGGCTGTGAACTGGACAGCTGCGTCTGTTGGGGCTGAAGTTGGGGCTGTTGCTGTGGCTGGGCCTGTGGCTGGGGCTGGGGCTGTGGCTGTGGCTGTTGCGTTTGCTGGAAGGGTCTGGGCGCATTCTGGGGACTGAGCACGCCGCTGGGCGCACCGAAGCCGCCCGTATAGCGGCCGCCGTTGGCATTGGGCACATCACCCGGACGCACCTTGTTGGCCTTGACATTGGTGCTGAACTCATGCTCATTGCCAGCGACATAGATGTCCGGCCTTGCGGCACTTTGTGGACGCAATAGACCAGCCGGGGCTCCAAAGCCGCCCGTATACTTGCCCGTATTACTGGCCGCCGCCGCCGGCGATGCGGCGGTGGATGCTTGGAATACGTTGTTATCTTGCGCATCTGCGAGTGAATTCAGTTTAGTTAAGGCTTCAAAAAACATTCCAGTTGGAGACTTACCCTTGCGCAGCGTGTTAACGGGTGTGCTTATGACCTTGCCCTCGTCGCTCTTGGTGTACTCAACCTTCGGACTGTCTGCCGCATTGCCATTGAAAGGTGGGAACTGTTCCTCAGCAGCGGCTGTTCCTTGTGGCGCTGCCGTAGGCGTTGAGCTTTGCGTTTCCTGGCCAGAAGCAGGCGAATCGAAGCGTGCTGTAAAATGCGGATATGAGTTTGTAGTAGGGTTGAGGGCTGAGGCAGGCGGCGGTTGGCTGCTGGAATCGCTGCCACTGCCACTGCCACTGCCACTGCTACTGCTAAATGGAGATGGTTCGTCGCTGTTGGCGACAGGCGGGATCAGCACCAGCGGCGGCTCCACAGTGTTTGACTCAGGGCCACCTGGGTTGTGGCTGCTGCTGTGGCTGCTGCTGCTGATGGCTGGAAGCGGAAGCGTGACTTTGGATGGAAAAGCGGAGGAGTCGGTATCAGCTGGCGCTGAGGTGGTTGATGTTGTTGTTGTTGTTGTTGGTTCTGTTAACTGAGATCTAATGTGGCTACCTGCAAAGCCCTGAGGCTGAAAGTCATTGGGCTTGGTAGCTCCCGGTTTCTGGCCACTTGCTGCGGCAGGCGTCTCCTTAAAGTTGTCCGGATTATAGGGCACGCCGGGACCCACATCAGGATAATCGAAATCTTGCAGCCACGGTGGCAACGTAGCCGAGTTAAAAGGATTCGGCTCAACAGGCGCCGCTGGCGTCGTGCTCGTCTTCGCTGGCGCTGTTTGGGTTGTGGTTGAAATCAGTTGTGGTTGTTCAAGTGGTCGCTGAGTGGTTGTTTGTGCTTTCAGAATGGGTGCTTTAGTGGTGCGCGCTGCTGTTGGTAGTGCAACGGCCAACGGACGTCTTGTAGTCGTCGTTGTTGTTGTGGTTGTCGTTGTGGAGGTGCTTGTTGGTGCTTGTGTGGGTCGCGTGCTTGCTGGCTCCGCATGAGGCGGTGGTGTCAGCTGAAGGTTGTGCAGGTCTACAAACGGCTCGAAAGGCGGCTCTAGATCCACGGCCAGGCTGTGATTGTACTGATCATTGTCGGTGGGCACTATAAAGGTGACGGCCACATCCAGATCCGGATCGGTTACCTCTTGCAGCCACGGTGGCAATGTGTAGGCATAGGCCTCCTCATTGTCCAGCTTATAGAAGGTGGATGGATCCACAGGTGTGGTGCTCGTGCTGGGTACTTGTGTCGTGTGTGGGCGTGGTGTTGTGGTAGTAGTGGGAGTAGTTGTTGTTGTTGTAGTTGCTGTTGTTGTTGGGGGGGTCACTCTTCGTGTTGTGGATGGAATGGCTGTGGTGGTTGCAGCGGTGGTTGTGGTGGTACTGCGTGGCTTCTGTGTGGTTGAGGTTGTGCTGTAATGGACCGTGCCGCGATGACGATTGGGAAATCGTGACCCGTTGCGTGGCGTGGTGCTTCCAATATGTGCATTGGTGCCAATCTGATCGGGTCCATCCTGCTCCACGGTCACAAAAGCCACTTGGCCCGGCGTCAGGGGTGCGGGTGCCACCGGCGACAGGCCTTGGCTGCTGCTCAGACTGACGCGTATGTTGTGACTGCCCGGCTGCTCCACGCCCAGCACATGCTTTGTGGGCTGCTGTTCGGTGATGATTTGTGGCTCGGTTTGTGGCTCTCGAGGCGTTTCGAATGGCGGCAACAGATCCCAGGCAATCACACTGAGGGGCGCACCATTCGGCGCTGGTGTCCAAGGCACAGGTCCGGCAATATCCTTATCCTGCTGCTGCAGCTCCAGGAGGTAGTCGGGCAAGGTGCCGCTGGCCAGTTGAGGCGCCTGGGCACTTTCCTCTTGCTGCTGCTGCTGCTGCTGTTGCTGGGGCAATGGGATCAGCTGGGCCTGTTCCACTTCGACAGAGACATCCGCTGAGGTAGTTGATGATTCATGCTTTGGGGGTGTTAGTGATGTGGCTGGTGCTGGTGCTAATGAGGTGTTGTTGTCGGTGCTGTCGATGTCCGAGGTGGGTAGCGCCACCGCTATGGCATCTAGTTGGGAAGGAGTTGGAGTTGGAGTTGAGTATGTGCCGGCAATGCTATCAATGCGCTTAGAATTCTTTTTATTCTCTTTAGAGCTAGCCTCTTGGGACGTTGCTGGGGTTCTTATAATAATGGGTGCAAATGCGGGAATGAACTGTGGATTGAGTGTCAGCAGGGTAAAGGTGGGTGGTGCATGTTTGGGACTTGCCGGTGCAATGACATATTGCTGTGCGGATGATTCGCGCTTGACATGGTTCGAATCGGGGTCGTAATGTGCATTTGTTAGTTCTACTACAGGTGAAGAGGGTTTGGATGTGGGCGTGGATATGGATGTGGGCGTGGGCATGGGCGTGGCTGTGAAGCTTATGCTAGTGGTGCTAATAGTGCTACCAGGTGCTAAGACACCTGCTATTGCCGCTTGTGAGTTGCGTGTTTGATTTATGCCTTTGCTCAATGTTGATGATGTTGCATTTGTTGTTGTTGCTGTTGCTTTTGCTGTTGTTGCACCGCTGGCGTTGCCATCTGCTGCTGTACCCTTTGCTGTTGTTGTTGTTGTTGTTGTTGTTGTCAACTCACCAATGTGCGGTGGCAGCAGGTCATCGGCAGGCTTTCGTATCTCGGTAATGCCCGACGCATATGTGGGTATCTCGAATTGCAAGCCCTGGGCGCTGACCACCTTGCGGCCGTCGGGCGTGTCGATCGGACGCAGTGCATCAATGGGATTGCCATAGCTATCAATGGTCCGATCGCCGCCCGCTTGGAAAGCATCCTCTGCTGCTGCCTCAAGCAATGGCGGCTGCAATTCTAATGAAAATGGCGATTGCCGAACATCTGCAGAGAAGGGGGAAATTTGTGGTTGTTCTTGTGGTTGTTCTTGTGGTTGCGACTAACATATGTACATATATATGCATGTATGTGTATGTGTTTAATGTTTACGCTGTTGATGTGAGTGTGTCATGTGGTATGGTAAATGCAACTAGATGGCAGATATGCAATTTGCTGGCACTTTTCAAAGAGTTCAAAAGTGCTGGCAACAGAAGAAGCGACTGCGACTGCGACTGAGATGAGACAGATGTGGCAGTCCGTGGGTGGCTCTTTGGCAATTTGGCTGCCATTGCCGCTGATTGATTGACATTGGCTTAAATGGCCTATATATTTCGTGTCGCTGTCGTTGTCGTTGTTGTTGCTGTTGTTGTCTCACGTTGCAGTTCAGGTTGTTGCGGCTGCTGCTGTTGTTGTTATTTAGTTGACACATAACACACTTACACACGAGCTCAGGCCAGTTCAGGTCAGGTAAGTAAATGCTACACTGAGCTGCTTTGTCTGTGTGTGTGTGTGTGTGTGTGTGTGTGCCAAGTGTTTAATTGACAGCCAATCAAGTTCGTTGCCTCAGTCTTTTGTTTGCATGAGCTTCAAGCAAAATGTCTACTCAACGCACCTTAATATCATCCATTTCGAATTGTTTTATGGCTGCTCCGCCCATTTCTAATTTTAGCTTCAACTGAGTAGCTTTTCATTAACAATATATGTAATTTAAAAAAAAAGGCCTAGAACGAAAAAGGCCTTATAACTGGGTACAAATAGCAGCTGACGCATATGCATAAATGTATATTAGGCATGAGGATGTATATTCTTGAACTCACACGCAAAACCAGTAAAACTTGATCAGTTCAATATTATTCATCGAACGCCGCGCCCACATTGAACTAACTTTAACTAGCTAAATGTTAATATGTATATGTTTTTTCTTTTAAATGTTCTCAGCGACTCTTCAATTGATTCAGAGAGTATTCTGGCGTTATACAAAATCAAACTGATCAGTACTTAAACTAGATTCAATCTTCAACTAAATGACATGATTATATATGTCTATAAACATTGCTCAAACTAGAAGCTAGTAAATGGCATATTCGGAACTTGGCTTTTCTGGATAGATCAAATATATTTATATATATTTAGTACCTATATTTATGCTTCTGTGCGTATATATAGCAATGTAAATGACATGCGTCTGGGTACAAAATATATTTTTGCACAATTAACATATACACCATTTTTTATCTAATCTTGACTGGAGGACTGGACTTGAATATTTGTCATTATTTAGCAATGCTAAAGAAATATCCCATATATATATATTAATATATTTATCAGATGCCAATAAACAGCACTGTGTGAATCAAGTTAGTTGTTGTGTATTAAAATCTATACAATAATTTAATTAGAATGTGGGGGGAATTCTATAAGCAAAGCGTTTAGAATGCGGCTTTTGCCATATGTAGTTAGTCACAGTTCGCGACAGAGAAAGAGACAGAGACAAAGTCAGAGATCAGCACGGAGAGTTTCTGATGAGCCGCAAGAGTCTGTGAGGCGTTCTAGAAATTCTAGCCAAGTTCCGGCTTCTAAGCATATGTGCATATAAATTCATTGCTATCTTATTTATGTCAGCTGATTCGTATTCCTATTGTTAATAAAATAAATAATCAAGCTTTTTGTTTTTTTTTTGACATACTGACTGCTTATCAGGCTTAGCTGAGAAAATGATGCTTCTCGCTTTTATCAAAAGTTTTCGAGTCCCTGAACCTTCCGAATGCCTCGTTAAAATTAGCCAACAATCTGACGAGCTGCAAAAGCTGCAGCTCATAAATATGAATTGTCTACAGATACAAATGTCAGATATGAGTTTATCTAACTTGACTTTTATTGTATACGGCTGGTTACGCCTCGTACACAAGCTGGGAAAGTGTTGTTTTTTAACCCGAAGTTAATGTAGAAATAAATGTGCAAAAGCTAATCAGATTTCATCTGATGTAATTACCAGAAAGAATTCTCGAGAAAAATGAGACATTGTCTCGTTTGACGGTATTATGTTTCCTATTGGGAAAAAGTCAAGATCTCGCGATTTGTCTTCCCTCCCAGCATGCATTTCAAAATAAATCCGTTCCACGCCCAAAAAACTAGTTGAAATTAGTTTGTCCGTCAAGTTCAGTGCCAATTAATGTTCACTTGTTTAAACATTTTTGCCTTTTTATTTTTATTTTTATTTTGCTTTTGTAATGTGAACATGATTTTTAATTTAAGTTTTAATTGATTGGCGACTTCACGACATCTGCACCCACCGAAACCAACAGAAACACACAATGGGATAATTCCAAGTTTATCATTGTGTTTTTCTGTTGTTTTATTTTATTTTTTTGCACTTGCCAGTTTTACAGTTTGTTTGCTTGATGGTTGATTTTTGACAAGTTTTTGTCTCTTGGGCAGCCTTCGCTAAAACTATAAAAGCAAAATATATTGTCGTTTTATTAATCTCATCCCGCGATCGTTGGATCATCTTTTGCCTTGAGTTATCGACTTATTGAGCTGTTGAATATCGCACAGCCCACACGAAAATCATGCTGATCATGCGCCAAAAAGTAAAAACTTTATTTTCAGCTAGTTTATATGATATATCTGATTATTAATTCCCACAACAAACGTGTCTCACGGAAACCTGCACTTGAGGTAAACGTCAGCAATAATAATCAGTGAAACTAAAAGCAAATAAATCAAACTCGGGTATAAATATCTACTAAATATTCCAGTTACAGTAAAATTATGGAAAACCTGCATTGAGTATCTAGAATCTATACACAGTGAGAAAAAATCAGGAATTTCGTACTGAAGTAAACCCGGTCATAAAAGTCCGGTAATACTTGATTCAAGCATGAAATTCTTATTTCAAGTATAACTTTTACGGTACGAAAATACTTGAATCAAGCTTGGTTTGTTACGTTTTTCACGCTGAGTTTAAGAACGGAATAGTATTGAATCAAGTTTTAATGAATCTTAAAGTAAGACCAATATTTTCTTAACAAAATCTTGAATCAAGAGCTCACAAGCTTAAATCATACTAAATTAATTCGATTCGGGCTCAAAACTTTACGAATTTCTTGGTATAGAATCAGGAACGGAAAGTCTTGTCATTAGCCCGCCGTTTTTCTCTCAGTGTAGTTGCACTCACTTAAGATCGGATCTAACGACAACTAGTTTTGAAGATATACAAAGCTTTCAACATTTATTCGGTTTTCCCCCAAATGCAATCCTCGACTTAATATGGTATAATTTGCACTTATTTATCTCAATAAATGAAAAGCCATTAGTGAGCTGAGAAAGTCTCTCAGATACGTCGCAGCAACAATATATATCTATATATCTATATACCTATCTGCGCTTTGTTCGGCTCGGCTATTAAGTAATTATGAAATTTTCAGGCTGCGCTGAATTCCGCAGCGGCTTATATAAAATTTAGTGAAATAACAAAAGCTTGAGCATAAATCACAATAAACGAAAATAAGCCAAAGTTTCATTATGGGACCCCCTAATTGTGCACAACAACAAAAACAACAACAACAGCAGCAGCAAAAGCGAGCCAATAAAATCCGTGCGAATTTGTTAATTATCACGTACAGGCATCTTAAACGAATCGCCCAAAAATACATATATTGTCGACAAGTCGTGTGAATAGGAGCGAATGGAGAAAAGGCCATTTAAAAATTGGCAGCAACAAAATTGATTATAACTATTGTGCGACAATAGAGCGTGAAACGACGGCATTTCAATTGGCCATTCAAGTATCTGGCCAAATAGCCTTTTGTGCGAAATGGTAAAACAATTAGCGAATTGTTCAGTCGATTGTTAAAATCGAGGCAGATCCACATTAATCCCGGCTCAAGGATTTTGCACAGTTGTCAGAATACTAATCAGAATCGGATTAGTCAGTTGTTCTGCGAGCACGAACTGATCTGTTAAAGATACATTTTGACGCTAATAAGCTTTCAAGTTGATTAATCAGCTTATACTTAACACATTTGGCTAAAACTCCCAAATATCTTTCAGATGTTGTCTTACAAAACGTTCCGTCTAAAATGCAATTAACCTCTTTTTTTGTTGGGCTCCATGACCCAAAATGAAATACAGAAAAGATGTCAGTGTAGCTGCCAGCAAGCTTAACAAATTGTCATAACAATTTATGGACTGGCTGCGTCGCCCCAGAGGCACAAGATGAACGGCCTTTAAAGCTGCTGTGGAAGCTGCACTTAAAGAAGTACGCATCCCAGAGGTCGCACTCGGACGCCCTCTGGCCCAGCCAGCTGGCTGGAAACCCAAACCCAAACCCAATCCGAAGCCGAAGCCGAAGCCTTGCCAGTCACGTCATGTGGCACTTGCATAAGATTTGTTGTTTTTTTGGGTTTTGTTTTTTGTTATTGTCTGGGGCTCGTTTGCAGCCGGCGGCTTCTTGTGCTTCATCTCGAGTTTCGTTTACCCCTAGTCGCCTTATGGGACGTTTTTGTCGCCATTGCACGGAGTTGTTTATTTTTTTTCAAGCTACTTGATTTTGCTTTAAACAAACAGAAAAAAGCGAATCAGTGTCGAGTTTCATTTGTCAGCTAATTTAAGGCTCTTGACCGCAGCCTCAAGCGTGGGATGAAGATCCGTGAAGATGTGTCCCCGATGAGTTCCCACAACATGCAGGGACAACAATTAACAAATAATTGGCTAATTATTAGGAGTTATTAGGAACTCTTTGGGTCATGAGTGAAGCTCCCATATAATGTTTGGATGCTTATGAAACATGTAATACCCATGTATGCAAGTTGAGAAGAAGATGCTTGATTATACTAGTTTGTTAGGTGAGTGTGCTTGTGCTGGGAATTAGTAACAATTGGATGATAATTAAGGGGACAGTTCCAATAGAGACTCAAAGGACAACAATAAACTGTTATTTACACTTATTTGAAACGAGTAAAAGTTAGTTAAGGCTTAAAATAGAACTAGGCTTATGTATAACAAAAAAACGGGTGGACAGTTGATTACAAATCTAAACAATTATTTTGCACTATTTTTAAAAAAGTATGTGCATTAAAAACAATTTCCATCAACTTTTGAAAGTGATCTAGGCATGATTAATATATGTATATTCGAAATATTCATTTCAGTATTTTTAAAAAACAATATAAAAACCGAATAATTTCATAATGGAAAATTTACATCTTTACTGCACATATTTGAATTACTCAAGTCAACACAAAAAATAAATAAATAAATAAGAAATTATAAATTTTAAGCCGTATCGATATTTGAAATTTCATTAAATCAATAAATCAATTAAAATCCAAAAGGTGGAAATAACATGCGTATAAAGACATATTTGAAGAAAGCAACACGACACAGAAAGACGAAAAGGAAATTACAAGCAAACACTAATTAAATATCGTATGGCTATGCGAATTGGTTACGAATTCGAATACGAAACGGTATCAAAATCGTAATCCATCGGATCGAAATGGAATATGCTGTTCATGTATGTGTGTATACCAGGCCTTCCAGCTGCGGCGTCGATCTTCAGTAGCGCCAGAGCTAGCAGCAGCGTAACGGTTACACCGGCGCCTGCGCGACTGCGCTGCTCCGACTTTAAACTGCGCGTTTGCATTTTCGGTTTTGGCAACTCGAAATTAGGCTATGTTTGTAGTTGTTGTGGCTGTAGGATTTTTGGTGTTCGAATTTGTCACGCAACCGAATTTTTAGAATTGGGCATTGCCCAAAAGCCGCGAGGAATAATTAGCGCGTAGGCAGAATAACAATGATGCCAACAAAAGCCAACCGTACGAGATGATGCTGTCAGGGATGACAAAATCGGCAGCGCGACGACGCGGACGACGCAATCTGCACCGGCGTGCACACAAGATACCTTATTGCCAAATACAAATAATATGTAATATTAATTTTTTCCCGTATTTATTTTCGCTGTTGCGACTTGCACACAAAATTCAATCAATTGTGACACGATTTCACGACTCGCAGTCACTGCGAGAGAGATGCGCCGGAGACTGTAACGGAGACGAAGACGAAGACAGCAGAAGATTAGACGAGCGAGGCGCTCGAGCGTAGCAGAAACACGTCCGTAGCTCACGAGTTCTGCGCTTTTAATAAACTCTGCTGCCGTCAGAGGCAACGAATGAAGCTTGGCTTATGCATGGGCTTAAAGTTGACGCTGACGGCGCACAGTGGTTCACATTCGATTTAAGTTAGCCGAAAAACAATGCCAAAGACTCTATTGCTGGAAGTTAGCTTGATAGAGAACTATTTTTACCTCTAGCAAAAATATATGTACTATTTCATTCAAATTGAAAATAAATATTTTTAATTAAATGTATTGCCAATTTTACACATTAATATTTGCGGTGGCCTGAAATGCACTTTCAACTGTAAGCCCGATTCCATTGACTATTGACCCAATGTACATCTCTTATTCAGCAGCAGCAGAGATCAAACGCGACGACGTCAAAACAAATATGTACATACATACATATTAAACAAATTTCCCGAGCAAATTGAAGCTGAATAGCAAACAGCAATATTAACAGTGTTGCTTTTGCCACTCTCGCTTTCGTTCTTATTTAGGATATTTTTAACATTATTCTATTAGCATAGGTACATGCATACATGTGTATGTACGAGCATGTGTGTAGGCGTCCATCTAAGCCTAAAGCCCGAATCTATTGTCACATTTGCATTGCACTTGAAAAACGGGAAATAGTGGAAATTAATTGCTGTAATTGCCTTAAGCTTATTAGACATACATATGTATGTATGTATTTGCATACCCGGTACGAGCCAGTGATGCATTGCCAATGTCGCTCAAGGTCAAATCTAACATTCGCCTAACATGTGCTTAACATTCTGTTATTGACATCGGCGACTGTTTCCAATCGCGCACACGTTTCAACACTTTTGCATATACACACATATTTATAAATATTATGCAAATTATAAATGAAAATGAATGTGTTAATGCTAGAAGCATTTGTTTCTTTATTGTTTGTTTATTTAGACAGGCCGGTTTGGTTATTGAGACTGAGCTTAACTTTGTCTATGTATCATCTGTCAGGGCACGTCACACTCAACTCGCTAACAATGCATAATTTATGCCAGTCAAATACATATTTTAAAATACATGCATATATCTACCTATACCATATACATACATAGAATAGATCCTGTTCTTTGACAGATCGTTTTTGGCGGCTTTCGCTTTCAGCATCGAACAACGAATCATTAAACTCGTCTTTTTATGAGCGGCAGCTCTTTTGTGAGGCAAATTTAATTCTTATACCAGTTGATGGCTTTAGTCATCAATTGCATTAATTCGGCATTTTCTGGGTTGAGTCAGCTGCTTATATTAGATCACATCGAGTTGTGCAATCCTTCTGGTTGATCATTGATCTCTTCAGAGGAGTCTTCTTCGATTCGATTGCACAATTCCGTGAATATGCACATTTTGGAGACTGTCCGACTGGAGACTGTTGGAGACTTGAGTTACTCATGTGTCTCTAGTTCATAATTGCCAGGCAAGGTCCAGGCCGATTTTCTCTGGCTTTTCAACCTAATGCCCCAAAGAAATTATGTCTGGTTCCGCATTGGAATTTCGCCGGCATTTGGTATTACGACTTCGGGCTCAACTGCGACTGCGCTTCCTATGCAGACTCATAATGAGCATGGGCATTAGGAATCACGGCTAGCTCGGCATTATCATTATTATTGTTACAATTACAGCAACGAGATTACCAAATGGACACAGCTCGAAAAGGCGCCCATTTTGGCCCGTGTTGCTACCGCGCTTTTGTTATTGTTGCTGTTTGTTGTTGTTGTTGCTGTGCGCCCGCCGACAATAAATCAAAACTGAGCTCCAGAGGCAAACAAAGCCATCAATGGGACGAGCCGAGCCGCAGAGGCTCTGCGGCGTCAAAGAAGTAATCAAAATTGTATTACGAAAACAAACGTTTTTATAAATTTTGTTACTCGCTTTTATTTTTTTTCTTTCCTACTTATAACAATGGCCCACGGCCCAAACAGATGCCGATGGCAGCCCCAAGTCGAACTCTGAGTGGAGTCGCCGCAAAAGAGCCAAGTCACCAGCAACAACAACAACAACAACAACAGCGACAGCAACAATAACAAACAACAATGCAGTGACAGCATTCACGCTATATATTATTTACTTTAATAGAGCCAGAGACCGCTTAGTCGGTGGCTCTCAGTTGGGAAATGAAACGTTGAAGTTGACGTTGACGTTGACGCTGCGCATGCGTAATCCGAAAATTGAAAATTGTTGGCGACCCTTCACCTGCGCCTTTTTTTTATTAATTGTTATAATCATTAATTTCACAAACATTCAACGCTTGTGTTTATGCAAATAAATCAGTTTCACAGTTGGATCGCCCGCCCCGCCAAGAAACACATTAATTAAACTGACAGCTTCATCAAGTTTGCGTTTCCGTTCAAAATAAATGCCAAATATGTTTTTATGGTATTCGCAAATTCGAAAAATATCTTTAAAAATGGTTTTTGTCATCAATTTGAGCTGAGTAAAATAATTTCGTTACCCGTTTCGGGTATTCAATAAGTGCAATTGTCGACTGCATGCTCGGCCCACACGAAAATTGTTTCGAAAAACATCAAAAGTGAAAAACAGACAAAAAAAACAAAAAACAACTCGAAGTCATATGAGAGACCAGTTTTGAGTGCTGCTGAACCAGTTGGAGCGCATCTTCTGTACGATATCTATAGCCATACAATTTTATTGCAAAAATATTGAAAAATGCGTTAAAACAACAACAACAACAACAACAACAGCAACAACATCAACAATGACAGCATAAGCTTTGTTGGTCACCCTGACCTTAACACGAATTTCGGCTTAATATCAAGTGGCAACTAGCTGACAGCCTTTGGACAAGTCGGGATTGAGGCTCGCAAACAGAAAGACAACAAAAAAATCATTTACATTTACAACTGATATTTAAGTTGCCCGATTACAATTTATTGGTGAAGCTGAATAGAAATTCCTTGGCCGGTTGAGTCATAAATGAGATGAATGGCGCTGGGTCGTTGAATCAAAACCCCCAAGGCATCAAAAGTCATTAAACGTTGTCTTGTTTTCGAGCGCGCGGAATTTGTGGTTGTTAATTTGCGTGGGTTTTTTGTTTTCTCATAATCGCACATTCCCACATAGAAAGAAAGCCAAGAACAAAAAGAACTGGTTTTGAAACGCGCAATTCAAACGAAAATTTAATACTGCATACATGGTTTATGTCGTAAGCAATTTTTGTTTATATTCCTATATTATTCTATTGCAAGACATACCTTACATATTTGAATACCCGTTAAAATCGGTTAAACGGCTACTCTGTTAACGTGATAAAATCCCAACTGCCGATAACATGAACCGATTGTTCACCTTTAGTTCGATTGCATGATCCAGCTCAGAAATTCAGGGGAATCAATTACTAACTGATTTAATAAGTGTGAACAACCCTGCAAAACAGCTGCAGTTGTCTTGTCTCTAAACAAAAAATATAGAAAAGGAAAATATTAAACTGAAGCACAACAATAACAAATGAGCGCCCTCTTTCGCAGTCTGAGCAATTTTTCGACAAAACGCGAGAATGTCGTCAAAGAAGCGTTGATAAACACACTGAACGAAAATGCAAGAGAAATCGAATTTGAAGTGAAGCAAAAAGGATTGGGTAAGTCCCAAATTCAATTGAAAGACAATGACTCATTAAAAACTCTTACAGAGGTGCTGGGCCTGTGTGAACAGACGAGCGCCTTGTGCACTACATTAGAAGCCTTGTTCCTGCACGGCTTGAAGGACTCGTTTCTATGGGCCACCATCAATGTTATTGCTGGCGATGTGGAACGGCGGCCGGAGCCGAGCTTCTGGTCGCCGGCTATGGTGTTCATGCACAAGCAGGTGATCGAGCAAATTCAATGCCTAAGTCAGATTACCTCCGAGATTGGCCAGTGCCGGGCCTGGGTACGGCAGTCGCTCAACGACTCAGTCTTCTCTGCATATTTGAACAACATGCGCAAGAATGGGTCGGCGTTACGGCCGTACTATAAAAAGGATGCGCTGCTTAAGGATAGCGAAGGCTTGGAAACAGCGGCAAAGATTATGGAGAGCCTGGAGGCATATGTGTCATTCGATTTGCCCGCCAACTCAAGTCTGTTGAATCAATGGCCTGATTATGCGCTGCAGCTGTCTGATCTGTGGACGCCGGCGCTCAAATCCTGTCCGGTGCGTATTACACAAATGGAAATTAGACCACCGCCTAATGATGTATTTTTTATAGATTAGCAGCGGCGTGGATGTGGTCAGTTCGTTGGCTACGGAAATTGTGGCTATTCCTACACCGCAGCCACTTCACACCAATGAGCTCTTCTCGGAGTCGATTTCTAACAGTCCATTCAGTCGAGGGGGCCACTTTGGGAATCCAGATCTGAACCAACAAGAGATTCTGGATTTGTTTATGCAAAAAGTCGACGAGATGGATATTATTAAGGAAGAGCGATCGCCCACGTTGGAAGAGACAAAGGACGCAGATATAGCCGCAACTGAGGCTGAGCCCGAAGCCAGTGGTACTCAGCGAGTCCGAAAGCGTTCCATGCGCCACATCGACGAGTCTTTCGCTGAGTTGCCGCAGGGCAGCAATTCTTTGACGAATCTAATGCAGACCTCTTGGTCCGCTGATCTAGATGCCCACTCACCGACAGAAGAGTCTGTAACACGATTTTTTCAGCGCTCTGTCAGCATGAGCAGCGCCACAAGCCTGCGCTCGCCTACCACGGATCGCTGCAGCTACAATGCACTGCTCCGAAAGCACGAGAGCAACCGCGAGGACGGTGCTGGCTGGTCGCAGATCTGGCAAAAGTTCTGCGCCAGCGCCTCAACGTTGAATGTGGCACAACTACAACAGCAACGCGAGTCTGAACCGGTCGTTACAGATGACATGAGCGACCTGCATTCCCTTGACGTAAGCTATTGTCTAGTTGTGATTAAAGTTATCAAAGCAGTTACATATTTATCTACTGGCAGACCAATTCGGAATTTGAGCTGATCCATTCCAACTTTGACATGGCCGAGCTTAAGCAAATGGTTTCCCAACTATGTCAGTTGCCCCGCGAGCCGGGACTCAATGCGCAGGGCTTTCTGTGCAAGAGCTGTCAGTATCCTTTGGGTATTGGCGACAGTAACTTTCAGTGCGTAAATGCTGGGCCAATAAGTTGAGCCTAATGTTAATCTATTCTGTTCAATCTCCTCGCGCAGAGTTTGTGCCTTTAGTGGCAGTTACTATTGCAACACCTGCATGGACTCGGAGGCTCAACTCATTCCGGCACGCATCATCTACAACTGGGATTTTCGCAAGTACAGCGTGAGCAAGCACGCGGCGTTATTTTTGGCGGAGTACCGGTCCCAGCCGTTTTTGGACATGCAGCTACTCAATCCCAGCATTTACTTCGCATCTGATGCCATGGCCGAACTGCAGTCACTCCGCATTCGCTTGAATTTCATACGTGCCTATCTTTACACCTGTGCGCCGGCTAGCATTGAGTTGCTGCAAAATCATTTCTGCGGCCGGGCGTACCTATATGAACATATTCACCAGTACTCCATAGCGGATTTGGCATTAATACAACGAGGAGCGCTTTGCCAGCAGCTGCAAAAGGCCTTCAAACTGGGCGAGGCGCATGTACTCAAGTGCAGACTATGCCACCTGAAGGGTTTCATCTGTGAAATCTGTCAGAGTCCGCGAGTGCTCTATCCGTTCCACATTGCAACCACATTTAGGGTGAGTTAACCGCAGAGACATTGTAATATATTCTTATCATTTTCTCTCGATGTATACGCAGTGCGTTTCGTGCGGTGCTGTTTTCCACGCCGAATGCCTGAACGAACACCAGCCATGTCCTAAGTGTGAGCGTCGACGTAAACGCGAGGATCAGCCTTTGCAGGAGGCGGTGCAGGATTTAAAGCTCAAGCATAAAACTTCATAGGCAGCCACTTAGTTTGTAAGCTTCAACACGCGATTGCTCATCGTCCCCAAATATATATATATATTCATTTGTATTTAAAGTATAATGAAGCCTATTATTGTTATAGTTTGGTTGGCTTTTGCCTGTTGCAATGCTAGCAAAAACGATATTATTTTAACTACACTCTAGCCCATACATATGTAAATACGCGCTTGTTGTTATTATATAAGAAAATCAAGAAAATCCGCATTTAACTCAATAACTACATTTTGAGATTAAGCTACCAAACGCGATATAATGCTTACATCAAATGCTATATTGGCTGGCAGGCGTATGTAATTCTCAACAGGTTAGAGTATCTGCTACTTTGTAACACGCTGTATATGCTAAAATAAATAAATGTTATAGTTCTCGACACGTTTGAGACCAAATACACGGTGAACGGGTTACTGTTGATCTTATGATACAATAAATAGAACAAGTAACAAATAAAACAATCAAATTTAGCTTCTCAGTTTTTCGTATTGACTCTACAAACATGTTCCTTTGTTTTCTCGTATATAATTATAGCAGATGTTTTTCCCATTCTTTCATGACCCCAACAATTCAATTAGAAGCCTTTAGTTTATCCCTCCAAGAAAATTCAGTTGAACGCGTATTTGCATAACTTTTCAATGTTTTTTAGTTTATTTATATGCGAACTTTAAATGCAATGATATTGAATAGAATGTTTATTTGTAATATGCTGGTAATTTACTTCTAACGACGCGACGGCAAAGTTCCAACAACAATGAATTTAATAATAAGTAATTTATTTATGTTAGTGAATAATATATTGCCCTATGGGTTGGTTTTAACAAATATATAATATGGTTGAAGAATGCATACACAAGTAGTTCGAAATGTATCACAAAAAAATAAAAATAAAAAATACAAAATAGTATTTGAATAGAAATAGAAATATCTCCTCGTGGTCTTGATGCAAAATTTACTCTTTCTGACTCTGGGTGAAAATGTGCGATTTTGTTGGAAAACCTTCGGATGTGCTTTTCTTTTTTTATTTTGCAATAACATTTGTGTGTTTGATAGCTTTTAAAAATATATATGTACATGTATATATATGTGTAGGTGTACTTAAAATTTGAATTTGAATTTAACAGTTTCAGTCTAGTAGAATAAGGACAGCGACAGAATACTTACATATATATAAAAGGGTATTCTGTGTTGGTGTTGCCTCTTGGATAATTTGACTAACTTTGGTCTAGATTCAGATGCCACTAATTCTTATGTACAGAATTTATATATGTATGTATATATATTGCGCATATATGTACGTGTAAGTATTATTGTATTAGCCTGGGAAGACACTAAACTAAATTTAATTTGCACCTAAACTCAACCAGCTTTAACCCAATTTATTGCATCCGTTAAATAATTCCTTACAATCAGAATTCAGCAGAATTTGCCTTCAAATTATTTCGTCACATTTGCTACGTGTATGTACATATGCTTGTATTTATTTTAAATACACAGTTCTTCTGGCACCCAATACAATTCTTTTCTCTGCACCTGTTTTGTCATTTTTTTTTCGGATTATATTTCATACACTTTACATAGACATTTCAACTTTTGCATTTACCCATACACACACACACACACACAGACGCACGCTCGGACTCGGCACAACACAACGATAATGAGACACACACCCATACGCACACATGCATACATATATACAAAGCATAAACATGGATATCATTTACAGTTATGGTTACAGTAGGCTCCCAGATTAATAGACCGTCGAATTGCGTGGCACACTTGGCGCCGGCTGCGATTTTGGACGCACATTGGCAGCAGATGCGGCGCCGCCGCCGCCGCCGCCTGCCGCGCTGCTGCCGCCATATAGAAAGCTGGATTGCCTTATCACAGACACTGTAGCGGCAGCCACGCCTGCCTGTGGGGGCGGTGCGGGGGCGCGGTGTTTTTTAAGCGGCACATAGGCGGGTTTCAGCACCGTTGGCGCCTTTGCATTGTTGTTGCATGCAGCTGCGCTGTTGTTGTTGTTGTTGTTGTTATTGGGCATCAAAGTAGTTTCTGCATTTCAAGCGTGAGAGAGACAGTTAAGTTGGGAGAAAGTGAGAGAGAGAAAGTGGGAAAGATATATATATATATATACATATATGTAGATACAAAGTACGAAGACAATTTTCGGAAGCGGCGCCTGTTGCTTAGGCAATGGAATTTTGTACAAGCAAGCAACAAACACAAATGATAAAAGATCAAGAAGAAGAAGAAGAGGACCGATCACAAGGATGCGGAGGACAATACAACGCGTGTCAAATGTTGAATGCTTATAAAGTTCGATTTCCTTTTGGTTTTTTATTGTTCATAATAACTTCAAATAAAACAATAATGTGCTTGTGTGCTAAAATTAAATATTCATCAATATTATAAAAAAAACATACGTATTTGTACGTGTATATAGATAAGATATAATGTATATATATAAAATAAAATGAAGCCGATTTGTAGACACAATACATACGAGTACATAAAGTAAAATCATGCGCTACAGAAATACAGAAAGAATGCATGAGGACTTGGACATAATGCAAATTGTAGTATGAACATCGATAAGAGGCATTACATATACATATACATATACATACATATATATGTACGTATAAACATGGGCTCTATAATAATACATAATATGCGTGTGCTTAGTAATAATATCGCTGTTTCCTTTGCTAACATATAAATCTTGGCATATATATATATATATATATGTATACAAAGTATGTATGTATATAAAAAAAATATGCTTTTAAACAAAATTATGTGGAATAAAGCTATCAACTTTTTATATATTTAACACTTTTTTTTTTTAACATTTTTAAACATAATCATAATCATTGTAACGTTACATTTGATAGCATATGTGTGGTTGTTGTTCTGCGTGTGTGTGCGTGTGTGTGTGTGTGTGTGTTCGTTTGTGTGTAGTGGACAATTTAAAATTGCATCGTTGTATATAGTTTTATCTTCTCATCGAACTCAAATGCTACATTATATGTTATATATGTGGTGTGCTTATAAATAATAAAAATAATAATAATAATATTATGCAGATTTTGCAAAACGTATTCATTATGTAACAGCATTCCGTGTGTGCATATAACAATAAAATTATGTAATAATAACTTTAATAATATGTAATAATAATAATAATTGTAAACATAATCATAATATGTAATTCGTAAACACGGCGCGTGAGTTTGCTTTAACAGTTGTATCGACCCACACACCTACACCTACACATACATACACATACACATACACACTTACACACACATACTCACATACTTATATATACATCCTTTACATACCATTAGTTGCCTTAAGCGTGCGACTAGGATAGATTTTTTGTATATTTAGAAACGGAGGCGGCTTCGGAAACTCGGTGACATTATGAAATCTCTTGCCAAACTTTGCCTCCAAATCGATGACCAGTCGACCAACCGATGCGCCCGTTCCCATGCCCGCTCCAGCTCCCGTTCCCGTTGCCAGGCCGCCGCTGCTGCCAAAATTGTGCGTCGCATTGGCCATGTGCGTGGGCGGCGTCAGCGGGGCATTAGCCCGAATGGAGGAGTGTCGCTGAGGCGGCACTGGAGCCTGCTGCTGCTGTTGCTGCTGCTGGGATCCAGTCTGCAGAAAGGATAACATGCATTTAGTTGGGCGATTCCAGAAGGTTCAAAGTGCAAGTCTCGGTTACACTTCGCTTTTGATTGTGCATCAGCATTCTGATAGCCGTGAGCCTGTTCAGAAGGCCCGCTTTGATTTGTTGCTTCCTGGACGGACACCCAGCGTTTCACATGCCAAGTGCAGGCGCAGGATATTGTGTAAACAAGCAACAATAACGCAAATTATCCTGCACTTTAACCACACACAAGCGACAACAAAACGAGCGTGCGATGAGCGAAAATCCGTAACGGAGCTGTTTGGGTCACGTATTACGTGTTGGAAAATCCATAAAGGTACTAAAAAGCTAAACGTAAGTGCGCAGCGGAGAGCGGAAAGAGCGAGCGCGCAGAGCGCACGCCAAAGGAGATGCCACAAAGAGAGAGAGGCAGAGGGAGGGGGCGTGCTTGTTGCGTGACATTGTGCCTGTGAGAGGCAGAAAAAGAGAGAGCGAGAGCGAGGCACAGCACCCCCAACGTAATTTTTGCACACTGTGCGAGTTTAACGTTAAACTGAGCTTAACTTTTTTTTTTTAACAATAAATTGCAATTCTTATTGATTGTAATTATGAAACTAATAACCGACAGGCTTTAAATAGTTATTTACTATTATGAAGCTTGGAATTTAAATGCCAAGTAAATTAGTGATATTTGAAGGCCTTTAGAGCGGGATTTTCAATTGCAATTTAAAAACCCATTAGATCGTACCGAGGCAGCTTGCGACCTTTAACTACCCGCAATTTCTTGCAGTGTAAAATTGCTCTGCTTAAGCAGCTGCAAGATTCTTTCTGGGTTGACTGCTTTTACCTTTGGCATATGCGCCAACTTGTTGTTGGCTACTTACGTGGCTTGACTGTCGCTGCGGGGGCGGAGGCGGCGGGCAGCTGCGGTGGGGCGGCAGCGCTGGCGGATTAATAGGCCCACCGTTCAGAATGATGGGATTGACCTTCTCGCGCATTGTCGCCGACTTCGGGCTGGCGGTAATGCCGCTTGGCGGTGTCGGCGGCGTCGCGCTGCCACCGACGCGAAACTGATCCCGCAGCGCGGCGACGCTGCTGCTGCTGCTCGAGCTGGAAGGCGGCTGCGGCGGCGGCGGCGATGGCGCTGACGTGCTGATCGCCGCGCTCTGCACCAGCACCGTGTTAACGGCACTGAAGGGCGCCGCAATGCTGCTCAAATTGCTGTTCGAGATGCTGCGCGATGGCGTTGGCGGCGGCGGCGGCTTCACCGAGGGGCGTGCTGCAAGCCAAGAATCCACAAGTTAATAAATTTATAATTTATTTATACAAAATTTGGTTATATGTATCAAAATAAATAAATTAATTAATCAATGAAACACTAAAATTCTATCTATATACATATATTAACCATTTTTCACGCCCTTGTAGAAGGTATTTTAATTTATAGGAACTGTTTACATGTGCACACATTCTATTAATAGAATTACATTACATTACATTATTCTGTTAAGTTTAAATGTTGGCATGGCTTTTAGGTCTGAGGCGTTGGCAATCGGTTCTCTCGGACAATAGAGATCGCGAGTTCGACTCCAGCTGGTGCAGCAAAATTTTTTTTAAAGAATTTTTATTTTTAATAAATTGATTCATATCTCTTTACTTTACACATTATAGAGGTGAATAATTTTAAAGTTGGATATCTCCTAGTCGTGCACTCCCGACTAAAACACTTTAACTTGTTTTCTTAACTTATTAATAAGATTTGGAAGCAGCTCTATTCCGCCGCAACTCTATTTATTATAAATTAACAGTTTTTGAACCGTTTTAATATTCTAAATTACTTGTAAAATATTTCAACTGAGGATAAGTATAACCAGAATTTTGGGCTTAACCTCGATTAGAGTACTCTTCTTTTTTGTCTTTAATACACTAGACTATAAACAGAACACCTCGATAAAGGATAAGCTAAAGCACAATTAATTTGATAAGCAGATGTATGGTTATTTACTTACTCTTTGGCGGATTGGGTGCACATCGAATGCTGCCCGAGATGCTGTTGGTGCTGCCGCTGATGCACTCACCGGACTGCAGTAGCATCTGTTGCTGGAGCGGAGCGCGCATTGTGCCAAAATGTTGTTGGTTGGCGAAAACGGGTCCGTTGACACCGCCAGCAGCTGGTGGAGATCTACGAGAGCAGAGAGCAGGATTAACAAGGCTGTCGAACAATGAAGGATGCAATGCGATGCGTTAGTAGCTAGCGTGCAGTCGGCGCGGGAATTAAGCTGGATAACTAAAACCAACCAGAAGCAATTGCAAACGGCAAGCGGAGTGTGGCGAGAGGCCATTGGAGGCGAGTGAGTATGTGGGGCGATGCTATATACCTGGGTGACTTCATGCTGTGATGCCGCGCCACCGCCGGCCGCTGATGCCCGTTGGCGAGCGCCAGTTGCTGCAGGCCCGGCGGTTTTGGCGCAAAATTTGGCTTGCCAAACCCAATCGCCGGCTTCTGTTGCTGTGCTGCGGGCGTGGGTGAGACATTACCACCACCAAATGCTGCTGCAGTAGGACCAGCACCAGGCCCGCCAAACAGCGTTGATTTATTGGGCGCCAAGTTGCGCAGAGTTCCCGTTGATGTTGATGTTGTCGTTGTTGCTGTTCGACTGGAGTTAGTCGCTGCTGCTGTTGTTGCGCTTGTTGTTGTTGTTTTTGTAATTGAACTATTTACAAAACTATTGCCTAACGAGATACTGTGTTGGATGTGTTGGTTTGGTGGAATTGGGGTTTAACCAAAATGCCCGGCAAAGAAACCAAAAACAAAAATATGCAAAAATATACAAAAAAATGTACAAAAGTTCAAAATTCAAAATACAAACATATATATATATATATTACACAAAATTAAGTAAATAGAAAACCATAAGAAATAGTTACATATACATATGTTGGTAGGCCGATCCCGTTCCCGATCGGAAGCTGCCCGCTTTTGGGCGAGACTTACCTAAGATTAGCCGCTTTGCTTTTCACGCTCCCGCTGCTGCCGCTCTCCGAGAGCGTGGGCGATGAGGCTTTCGGCTTGGCATTGCCATGGCCATGTCCATTGGCATTCACACTGGACGTGGGCGGCGCCGTACGAGGTATGTTCATGCGCTCCAATATGGAATCGCTGGAGTTCTAACAGAATAGAAAACAATCAAACCGGGAAAGGTGAAATCACATCGGGTTATTTGCTGTACAAAATGTGTTGAGCAATATATATACTACAAATCTTTGAGTTTAATGATCATATTTAAATATACTAATCAGAGATTTGTAATTAATCATTTTATAATGGGAGCTCTAATTAGACAATAAATATCAATGATATCAACTTGGTTAATTAACGAGAAAAGCAGTTTACAGAAAAATTCTCATTAGGCTCTTTTCGGAGAAATGAACATTGCAAGTGATATTTTTGCTAAGTCAACAGATGTTGCTGTAAGTTCTATTAAATAATAAAATATTTCTAGTTATAGGATCGGAATACTATAATATACGTTCAAGGAATATTTCGATACTCTTGAGGCAAGCGATATTCAACCAAGTATTTATGTTCAAGTTGGTACTCGAACTTGTACTTGCGATTGTTCGAACCAGAGTTAAAGCTCTATTCTTATTCAATATGCGAAAAGACTGGCCACTTCGTAGCACTCAGGTACCTAGATCAATTTTTATAGGATAGGAATACTATCTTATCCATTCAAAGAATATTAGAATACTCTTAAGCCAAGCGCTATCCAACCAAGTATTTATGTTCGAGTTGGTACTCGAACTTGTACTTGCGATTGTTCGAACCAGAGTTAAAGCTCTATTCTTATTCAATCTGCGATAGGACAGGCATTCGGATGCCTTAATAGATTTTTATATGCTATACTCGCGCTCTGAGACTCCTTGTCGCTGTAGTTGGCTCTATTAATAAACTAATCGCAGTGGCTTTTCTTTGTGTGGGTCTTGCGGGACTCGTCACTCACCTTTGGCGGCTGCGGTGGTGGTCCGCGATTTGTTCTCAGATTTGCTTCGGTTGCATTGATATGTGTGCTGTTGCTTGTTGCCAGCGGTTGTTGTTGCTGTTGCTGTTGCGGTTGTTGTTGCTGTTGCTTCTGACGCTTCAATGTTAAATGCTTGGTGAGCTCCGCGTTAAAGTCCATGGGTCCATTGTTCGCTGCGGCGCTGGGGGGGCTGTTGCTGCGCGTCGCTGTTGACGCTGCTGCCGCTGACGGTGCCGCTGACGGTGCTGCTGCTGGAATTTATGATTGTTGTTGTTGTTAGTATTATTATTATCGTTGTTGTTGTTGTTGTTGTGCGTGTTGCGTGGGTGTGCGTCGAAATATTCAAAGCGGAAATCAATTGAGCAACAAAACACACTCAATGTTCATTTGCATATGTGATATATATATATAATATATAATATATATATATTTATTACTTACCGCGAACGCCATTCACTGGCTTCAGCTTTGGCATCTGCGACAGGCCTTCGAAAAGGCCACCCAATTTGGGCGTCCCATTGCTGTTGCTGTTGCTGTTGATGTTGATGTTGTTGTTGTTGCTGCTGCTGGTGTTGTTGTTGTTGTTGAGCGTGCGCTTCGACGCGGCTGCCGCTCCAGAGCTGCCGGCGCCGCCGTCGCCGCCATCACAAACACGTCCGGACAACGCCGGACCGCTCTTGTCAACGGTGGCCGTTTTGCGTAGCTTGGTGCCCTTCTGAATGGAGCTAAGTAGCGCGGAGCGCGGATCAGCACCGCCTGCCCCGCCGCCGCCGCCCAGCTTTAGGCCGCCCATAGCCGGTGGCGGCGGCGGACCCGGCGGTGGCGGTGGTCCTGGTGGTGGGGGTATGGCCATCTGTAAGCAAACCAGGGCAAATGTTAGACCAAGCAATGGGAATACTTAAAGCCTGGCTTTGGTTGAAGGAAGGTTACTTTTGGGCAGTGCGTGCGTCGAAGTAGACGCATTTTGGGCTATCCGTGATATCTGTGCCCGCCTCGGATTCAAGACTAAGACTGAGACTGAGACTGAGGCCACAAACTCGAGACGCGCTCGAGCCAGCCAGCAGCAACTGTCGCCCTCCCACACACGTTTAATAACTCAGTTTCTATACTTATTATATTTATGTATGGCCGTCGTTTGTTTCTTGTCTTGTCTTTTTTGTTGTTTCGAGATTGACGCCTCGATAAAACAAAATAAAATCCAAGCGCAAACAGCGCGTAAAATGAATGCCAGACCCGCACAGTTTGGCAGTCATTGGGCGGGCGAAGCTCCCACAGAATCCACAAAAAGCCCACGTGCCACTGCCACAAGCACATACATCATTGTCTATCTGTGTATCTGTGTGTGTGTACATATGTATATGAATACACGAATGCAAATGATACTCAAAATGATGGACAATGTTTTGCATTGACCCGTGGTTATTAACATATGACAGTTTTAAGTATTGTGGAAATAAATAATTGAATGATTTAAACAATGTCTGCCCATTGGAATATCTAGACCCAAATATTATTAGCTAGCTGGCTTATAATATTATATCCACCCAACAACATTATAAAACAAGTAAGAGGCTTTCTCTAAATAGTTATAAAATTAAAGATATTTATATATATAAATGCTATTCAAGAAGCTACTTGTCAAATTTGGTGCCACCAGCTTTTATAGTTTACGAGATTTGCTCAAAAAGAGCATTTCGATATCGATTTTCATCGATTGCTTGGAAATGGGGCAAGTTATCGTCTATCGGAAACAAACTCGTACTGTGCGGGCACTAGAAGGACCTACATTTCAAATTTTTAGTCTCTAGCTCTTATACGTTCTGAGATCATTGCGTTTATACACACGCACCGACGAAAGGACAGACAGACGGGCGGACAAACAGAGACAGACATGGCTAGATCGACTCGGCTATTGATGCTGATCAAGAATATACATACTTTATGGAGTCGGAGATGCTTCTTTCTGCCTGTTACATACATTTGCACAAATACATTATACCCTGTTTACCCATTTTAAATGGGTTCAAAGTATAAACACGAAAAATTGAGCTACTTCAACAACGTCTAGGTTCGCACCTTGCTACTCTTTCGAAGCTTCAACTTGTTGGGAATTGTAAGCGTCAAGCAACGAAACGCAGCGAAAAGGGCGACCAAGTAGTCCTCTTTCTGAGTGGTTTACCCTTGACGAATTAAAGGCATGTAAGGATATAACTTTTTAGCTTCATATAAATTCATTCATATAAATACATTTGTACTCTTATAATTACTTATAGGGTTGAAGAATTGTACCTTCTGTTACATTGCCAGCTCACAAACACCTCAACTCACAAATAAATTAATCAAACAATAATAAAATCAATATCAGCCGTACAATTATCCCTGATCTTGATACCATTGACCTTTGATTTTATTGGCAGCTGATAAGAGCTGATAAGACAGCTGAAAACTGTCTCAATTGCAAATAACAAAAATGACGAGAAAATGAAAAGTTCTTTAAGTGCATTTCATGCGATTTGAATAGTTATTGACATGGAGCTCTTGGGAACGAATCTACGAAAAAGAGTCAGTTTTTTTAACATTGTATTTTTCATCTGTTGCTATGCCGTGAATAATGCAAGGGTAAGAAAATTGTTAAGTGTACTTCACTTGAATATTTAACTATATACAATCTGAACAGTGTCAAGAACTGGAAACTATGCTGGATGCGGCACAAAAGCTGCTTTCAAGGTACGTAGAAAGAGGTAAAGGTGGCATTTTTTGCAAAGTTCAATGTTTTACAGTGTAGAGGAACAATTGGAAGCACTCAAAGGATATGAAGCAGCTGATGGTTCCATTTCCCGTAAAGATGGTATGATGGATTGTCTGATTTACCGATTTTACTGGATTCTCACTTGAAAAATATTAACGCACAGACAAAACATATCCCTCATCCTGTTTGACGTCCCAGTTCAATGCAAGCGGGGTTTATACGATAGAGGTGCCGGGTCTGGCGCCGTTTTCCGTAGCCTGTGATAACTGCTCTGCCGGATTCGGCTGGCTTGTCATCCAGAGGCGACTGAATGGCAGCTTGAACTTCTATCGCAACTGGCAGGAGTACAGGGACGGCTTTGGAGATCTCAACGGCGAGTTTTTTATTGGTCTGGAGAAACTGCGTGCCATCACGGCTCTGGAGCCCTTTGAGCTGTACATTGTTCTCGAGGACTTCGACGGAGAGACACGTTATGCTAAATTTGATGAATTTGCCATTGGCAGCGAAGCGGATTCGTATCCACTCAATGTGCTGGGCGCCTACAGGGGCAACGCGGGCGATTCGCTGCGGAGTCATCGCAAAATGAAGTTCTCCACCTACGATCGGGACAACGATCGCGAGTTTGCCAGAAACTGCGCCTTTCTCCACGTGGGTGCCTGGTGGTACAACAGCTGCGTGGACAGGTAACTTGGCTGAATTGGCACCTCTTGGTGAATGACTTATGTGATGTCTCCTCCTCCTTCTGCATGCAGCAACCTCAATGGACAGTACATTGAGGGCGGCAAATACGAGGAGAAGCTCTTCGCCCGCGGCATGTGCTGGCGGGCCTGGCGTGGTCACAACTACGGCTACAAGTTCACCCAAATGATGATTAGGCCCAAATGCCGTACCTTTCCAGCTTCCTTTAAAGGCAACAAGGGCAACAAGGGCTCTCAACGGAAATGTGACGTGATTCCTTAACTCTTAATTTGCATGCACAGCCCACATTTATTCCGAACTCATCACAGAATATAGTTTCATAATCTTCCACTCGATTAGTATGCGGAATACGCATGTCGCCTTTTTTTCAAACCCAGTCAAAAGTGATTCAAAAATATATTTTAAGCATTTTACTTCCTGGGTATACTTATATATCCATATAATTGTATCTACACTGCATTCATTGTTTTTACTAATCAAATATATATGTTTTAGATACATTCAGCCGACATTCACTTTCGACAAGAATAAACCCGCAAGAAAAACATGATCTATGTTATAGTTCTATATGTTATATGTAGAGATACTATGAAGATACCCGGTACCAAGGTCTAAAGTACCTTTTTGACCTAAGTTCATGTATAAATTAAAGCTTTAAAGATTTAAGAATTTGTTTTTCGTCCGTCTCTATTTTCAGCCAAAATAAGCTTTCGCTCAGTCAAGCTTTGACCTTGCATTTATCCTTCAAGAGGGGTAGATTTTACGAAACTTTCTCAAATGAATTTTCACAAAGATTTTGGAAAATTATTTTAAAGCCGATCGGATGGTACTTTAATAAGTTTCATGCAATTGTTTTCCGCCAATTTTCCATAGTGACGGGTGGAATTTCCACAATCGCTGAAAAACGTATTTACTAACTTTTCATGAATTATTTTAAGTTTGAACAAAAAGTTCGGACAAAACTAAAACTACGCCCAAAAAAAATCTTTGAATCGCAATTTCAACAAGGGAAGCTTGGATTCTGTGAAAAGCGTGAAAGACTCTCAAATAATATTTTCATAAAAATGTTTTGGAAATTAATTTGAGTTAGGACAAACAGTCTCTTATATAGAGATCAACCTTGTCAACAATAAGTGCACAACTATATCTATGAAACTTAGCACAGATATATATATATATATATATACTTTTTTTTAAAAAATAAATATCTAAATGTTGCAGGATATTATTGGTATGTCTGACAGGGAAACAATTTGTTCTTATATCAAAAAATGATTTTAATTTCGAGATATCCTAATCAAGCTCGGCAATTATGTGCTCTGCTTTCTTTTCGCATACTGAGCTATATCCCTTGTATAATATGAATACTATATCATATAGGAACGATCAGTCAAAACTGTAGTTTTGTGAAAGCAAAGTTTTGTATAAATTTGTACGGGTATTTAACTCGAAGAATTCATTTTGTTTTTAAATTGTATAAAACTATTCGTTTATGAGAATGAGATGAGTTGTCTAAGTGACTGAGTCATTGAGGCTATTTGTGTATGGAAATTTAAAGCTCTTAGAAACCAGAGATTTTTACATATGATAATAATAATATTATCTTATTCAAATGTTCGTTATATTAGGCATTACGCATACTAGATGAATATAAATTAGAAGAAAATAGTATACCTCGTCCCCGCCGAATACTGGGTACAATTATAATCTGAGCAATTAACTAATTTAAATGTACTACATGATTTACAGTTTAGTCTAGATTACGAGATCAGAGAAGGAATACATAAGATCGTTGCATACATGAATTTTAGAGCTGGAATCAATTTACTCTTCTTGCTCTCGTGGAGCTTGATTAAAGCGGAAGATCTTACAAATGATGGGAACGGATCACGTCCTCCAAGGGGACAATTGGAAGAAATATACGAAAAGGCTGAACGGCTTATTTCAAGGTTTGGTTGGTAAAGGGTTTTGCCCGTCATATGATATATTTATTTAATCTTACAGTTTGAAAGTGGAACTAAGCCAGTTGAGAGCCAGTTTAAAAACTACAGCAGAAACTCCGAAGACTAAGCAGCCAGGTAAGGCAAAATCTCGTAGCTCCAAGAGCATACATATACCCTGTTGATGGGAACATCTAGGTAATCCGCCCTCGTGCCTGGCAGCGATGATCAACACCGACGGCATACACACTATTCAGGTGACGGGTCTGGAGCCTTTTCAGGTGGCATGTGATACCCGTACTGCTGGCGCCGGCTGGACAGTGATCCAGCGTCGTCAGGATGGCAGCGAGAACTTTTATCGCAGCTGGGCCGAGTACCGGGCGGGCTTTGGCAATCTGAGTGCCGAGTTCTTTATGGGCCTGGAGCCACTGCATCTTTTGACGAATTCCGAGCCCTACGAGCTGTACATACACCTGGAAGACTTTGACGGGGAAACGCATTATGCCAAATACGACAGATTTGTCGTTGGGAACGAGTCCGACTCGTATGCCCTGATCGGATTGGGCAAATACACGGGCGATGCTGGGGATTCGCTGAGCTATCACGTGGGCATGCCATTCGCCACATTCGACAACGACAAGACCCGCAACCGCTGCGCTCTGACCTATGTGGGCGCCTGGTGGTACAATTCCTGTCAACATAGGTGCGTAATTTTTGGGCATTTTTTTTTAGCTTTTCTTTTCCTAGCATATTAGTGCCTTTGCAGCAATTTAAATGGCCAGTACATGGAGGGCGGCAACTATGAAAAAAAGCTATCGGGCCGGGGAATTTGCTGGAAGAGCTGGCGGGGCTACGACTACGGCTACAAGCTGACACAAATGATGATAAGGCCAAGGTGCCGAGCAGCTTCATCGGCGCCCTGAGGCCATCGCTTATATTCGTATTTAGCGTTTGCCATTATATTATTGATCGATTTGCCGTTGAATCATCCTCGGTGCGTTCAAATCGAAAGATCTTAATCAGTTTTAAAGCTTTTCAGCACACTTTATTTGTTTCGTTATCAACTACACTTTTTATTTACGTTTTGATTATATTTGGCTCTCTTGTTGTTGTTTGCTTTTGTTTTATGTATTAATTTTTGCTTGCGCTCACAACATTTACAACAATAACAAAAACATAAACCGTAAAACGTGCGTTGCGCTCAGCTCGCGAGTCGAAAATCAACTGAAGAACAACGGCCGCGCATGCGACGCCAAAGCGGAGAGCGCCAGCTGCACAGCAGGAGAGCGGAAGAGCGGGAGAGAGAGAGAGAGCGTGAACAACGCGACAAGCTTTGAGGGGGGCGCAGACGAAAAGAGAGCGGCCCAAGCAATTCATAAAATTAGCTGTTAAGGTCGTCGCGGACGCAGCTAGAATCAGCGTCGAGTCAACGTCGCTGTGACGTCAGACGTTGTCGCCGTGTGATCGAATGCAGCGCGAGCCACTTGGACAAAGACAAGACATGGATAAGGAAAGACAAAGACAAGGCATGGATAAAGAAAGATAAAGACAAAGACAATACAAATAGCAAAGAGAAGCCGCGCAATGAAGACGACGCTGCAGCAACCGCAATTTCAGCACCTGTCGCTGACAAAACGCTGATGAACGGTCAGCGCAAAAACTGCTTAACTGTATCTCTGGGCCACTCTATGTGTATGTATATGTGTGTGTGTTGTGTGTGTGTGTGAAACGTGCGAAATATTTGCAGTCTTGCTTCAGACTGGCTTGAGTCATTTACTAGCACAGTGGGACGAATCAGGGCGATTGTATGGCAGTTGCCACTGTGCCGTGAGCTGCACTGGAAACTCCTTAACAGGCATGATTCATGCTTTAGCTTGATTCAGTCGGAGACGGTGACAGACGGGAAGACGCTTAATTGAACAGCTGCTGACAATGATCGCAATGCCACAGCCCAGAGCACTGACAACATTTATTCACTCATACATTGCGTTACTTCTCAAGTTGAAGTCAAGTGAGCAACGTATTTAGTCATCCAGCGCATTTGCATAAATACAAAAACATACATACACACATATGTATGTATGTGTATTTACATCATACGATATGTGTGCATGCATTAGAATACGTTGGAAGATAATATACGTTCCATAATTTTAAAAAACTCTGATAAAAGGATGCATGTTTTTAATAGTGAAAGATTACAAATGCACAATAAATTGCAATCGAATAGAGGTAATTATAAAAAGAAGCTACATTAAAAAAACAGAGGAGTGAGGTTGTCAAAGACTTAAATATTATAGATCTGTATATTCTCAAAGATATCCGACATCCCATATTGATGTCGATATCGATTTTCCGAGTAAACGGTGCAATTAATCGATATTTTCATAGTTTCGATAGTTTTGCGAGATCGACACCACAGGCCTAATAATTTTTAAAATTTGTTTCAAAGGGCTTAAAAATGGTGCTGAATTTGTATGTACTATTGTTACATATCCTTCTTACCCATTTAAATGGGCTCTGGCAAAAAATGCGCGTACCTTTAAAGAATTTACAGTATAAGTAAATATTTGTGTTTTGTCATATCTAAGTATACACCAGCTCGAAGCCCAGAAAGTAACATCAATTAAAGAGCGACGGGCATGGCGTACTATTCCACTATTCCACGTTTTGATGTTGGGGGCGTTTTGCGGCTTGGAACTTACGCAATGTTTGCGGTGTATTGTCTTACAGACGAGGAGGAGGGGGGGCCGCGACCGACCCGACCACAAGGCCCGGCCCGGGCGTGCATTTCAAATAGGCGTGTTAACACTTAACACACAATTTGACTTGCATAACGGCAATGGATATTAGTTTTTGACAGGGAAATCAATTTGCACGCGTTTCTGGCAACATTTCCGGAGAGGCGCCATCGAATGACCCCAAAAACGGAGCCATCGTGCCGCAAATGCGAGGCCGTAATGATTTGCGAAATTGAGTTTTTGATTTGATGGGTAAACACGCCCTCTAACAAGAACACTCGCCGTCGCCGTATTTGGGGCAATTAAGTTGATGACAGTTTGGGGCAAGCGAGGAGTTAAAAAAAAAAGGGAGGAGCAAAGTGGCATTTTATTGTCACAAACGCGGCAACACACCTCGAAAGCATTAATTGAATAAGTGGGAATCGGAATCGCGAGCCAGGATAAAACAGCAATAAACTCATTCGTATGTGTTGCCCTGACCGATTTTCCCGTATGACGTGTGAGTCATTCCGTAAACCGACTAAAGCACATGAATTCAATACCCTGTCTTTGTTAGCTGCGCAAGGAAAGCCAGTGTCAGCCAGGCTAATCCCAGTCAATGAACTTGAACTGCCAAATGTTATCAAATTGATTTAACCCGATAATACATCACATATATAGAGCCTATCTCCAAGTTGTCTGCAAGTTTTTTGTTTTTTTTTGTAAATTTGTAAAGGCTCTTTTTCCCATATCGCCAGGTATTTTTGCTTATGCACTGCGAAACGATAAGTTTGTCGTCTTCCAGATAAGATATGGCGACTATACATACAAATGCCTGCTGCTTAATGCCTTTTAATTCTCCAGTAAATTATTTGCCATGAGTCAGAAGCTCACAAGAAAAACCCTAAACTGTGGGCTCGCATTTATTTGACACATTCCGAGCATTTGCAAATGTGAATAGAAACTTAAC